GAGAGCTGAGGAAACACAAGGTAAAGTCAGTCAAGTTAACCTTTGCTCGCATCACAATTTTTCAAGAAGCCAAGATTGGCCTGGAAAATTTTCACTAGGGAAAAATGATAGAATTGGATGACCAGTGTTTACCTCTGCTCTGGGGGGAAAAAAAAGAGCCATTGAGTAACATGATATATAGCCAAGGTCAAGTTTAGTATTGTATTACCAGTGAGTATATGAAGACCAATAACACTGAGAATTATAAATCAGTACTTTAACATATAAGTAAACCTTTTACCTAAGAGGTTAGGCTCTCATAGCAACCAAAAGTCTACATCCAAATGGAGACAGCTATTGAATACACCTTCCAGTTTGTTTTTAGGAGAAAAACAGAATGAGACCATTCTGTCACAAGGATCAAAACCAGCCAACACTTAACCTCCCATCCCTCCTTGTTTTTGCCCTTAGACTAGGGCTGTCAAAACATGACGGTCGTAATCGCATTGTTAAAATCTGCATCATCTCTTTTCCTGTAACTGCCTCCAGCTGGCTCCTCGGCTGGCTCCCTGGGGAAGACAACTGGGCACCTCATGAAAAAGTCAAAGAAACATCCTTTAGCTTCCATATACCTCAGATTCAGCCTTCCTCACTGTTAAGATCCTTCATTAGTATGGTATATTTGTCATCATTCTAATAAATAAATATTGATACAATTATTAACTAAAGCCCACACTCCATTAAGGTATACTCATCTTTCACCTGTTTCAGGGTCCTTTCAGGATGTCACACTGCATTTAATTGTTACATCTTCTTAGGCTCTACTTGGCTCTGATAGTTTCTCAGACCTTCCTTGTTTTTGTTGACCTTGACAGTTTTGGGGGAGTACTGGTCTGGTACATTCTACAGTGCTCCTTTATTGGATTTGTCTGATGGCTTTCTCATGATTCAATGGGGGTTATGGGTTTTGGGGAGCAAAACCACAGAGGTGAACTGCCATTTTCATCATATCAAGGGTGCATGCTTATCTTGGTTAATAAGTGTGTTAACCTTGGTCACCTGACTGAGGCAGTGTTTGTCAGGTTTCTCCATTGGAAGGTTAGTGTTTTCCCCTCTTTTCATACTGTACGCTTTGGAAGGAAGTCACCAAGCACACTTAAGGAGTGGGAAGCTATGCTTCCATGAGGACTAAGTGACAACATAAATTATCTGGCATTCTTTTGCATAGGAAATTTACCTGATGCTATTTTTGACAGTTCAGATTTGATTTCTACACACTGGGACTCTTTTTTTCAGTTTGTATTCTATGCTTGGACCTGTTCTCAGTGGTTCTTCTCACATGAACACTTACCTGGTGTTCCACTCTGTACTTAATTCAGTAGCTTCTAGTTACTCTGGTGAACCCACCCACACTTGCATGTGAAGAGGGGTCAGTGTGCCATCCTCCCCACACTGCACAGGGATACTTAACAGGAACTCTGTCTGCAGAAAACCTTTAAGCAGAGGAATTATGTCTTGAAAGAACCTTGTTAAGCACAGGTTCTCCCTTCACTTCAGTAACTGTTCTGTCTTCTGTTTTTCCTCCTAGCTCTCAGGCTGCTTCCCAGGTTCCCTTTTCACTCTTCTTTCTTCACCCCCACCTTATGCGTTGTGGCCTCTCAGGCCCTAGGCTCTGACCTTTTTAGTCAGTATCTTCTCTGAGTACCACATGTGATGGAACCAGGTAACCACCACTGCCTTGGAATCTATATTTCCAGGCTGGCTTTCTCCTGTAATCTTCTGACCCAGATATTAAAGTATTTGCTAGACATTTTTATGCAAATGTTATATAGACACCTCAAACTCAATATATCCAGGAAAAGATTCTGTGATCGTGCTTCTCTGGCCTGCTTTTCCTCTTGCAGCCCCAGTTCTCTTTGATGACCCCATTACCTACGGATTTTTCCAAGAGAGGAGCCTGTTATATATAAGCCTTTATTCCCCACTAACCCACATCCATGGTTAATCAACATCTATCAGTTATGGATCTTTCAAATTTGTCTCCTACCAATATCCTTAGCAGATCCTTGTCACATCTCACACAGATCTTTTCTCACTGATCTTTCCTTATCTAGGCTTTTCTCCTTTAATCTTTTCGCCACACTCTAATCTTTTCGCCACACTCTAGAGTATCTTTCTAAAATGACAATTGTGTTCTCCATACCACCAGGAGCTTCATTCTGAAGGTCAAATCTGGCCTGCTGGCCACTGTTCCATGCCAGTTGAACAGGTGTGGGCCTGTTCTGTGGGCAGAGCTGGGCATCATGCTGTGAGACATGGGCAGAGGTTAAGCTTTCCCATGGAGGGACAGAGGAGGGAGCCCTTGAACCGAGTCTACTTAACTAACAGACAAGTTGAACAATGGTAAAATTCACGCGGTGAAATTGAAGACCAAAGACAAACATGGCAAACATTGGCTATCCAAAGCCACTTCAAAGATACTGGCAACATAGAGAACAAGCCAATGATTTATACAAATAAATCATTTTGTTCCTGAATTGTTCATTTTCCATATTGACTGAATTGGAAGAATTATGCAATTCCAATTCACTTTGTTCTTCAAAGGATTTTTTTTCACTCAATTCTGAAAGGACTATAGTATATATATATATATATATATATAATATATATATTATATGTATATATAATATATATATTTTAGGCTATATGTTCCAATTGAGTAGGTACAACTTGCCTGGTGCAAATCCCATCATTACATAATGAATATGTGAATATCCTAAATAAATAGGATAGCTGCTCAAAGAATGTCAATTGAGAAATTATTCACTTGGATAGACTGACTTTAAATATTTTGGATAAATTCTTACAAAAGGCTTTGCATTGCCTCTTAGCCGGTGAAGCTGGTGAACATGAACTACTAATATTAATATTAGTAACATTTTCATGGTCTTGTATTGGGCTGAGCAATGTGCAATTCCTTTAATAGAGGACTTCACAATGTTCATGGAAAATGCATATTATGAAAAAACCATATGTGAATTTCAAACTTTTTTTGCACCAAAATAAACTAGTATTAACTTGTCATAACATGTCTGAACAGGATCTAGTTTGAGACACTAAAAAGGATAAGGCATCAGTTTGAAAAGAGCCCATGTCAGAGCAACATGAATTATGCTAAAAGTGAAGCCAGAACAAACATCAAACTTATGATGACTATTGAGTGGAAGAATGGTGAGATCATTAATGCTTTAAGAAAAGTTTATGGGGAGAATGCCCCCAAAGAAATCAGCAGTTTCCAGATGGATAACTCATTTTAAGAAGAGATAAGACAATGTTGAAGATGAAGCCCATAGCAGCAGACCATCCTCATCAATTTACTAGGAAAAAATTCATCTTGTTTGTTCCCTAATTGGAAAGGACCAATGGTTCACAGCAGAAACAATAGCAAACACCAGAGGCATCCAACTGGTTCAGTTTAAACAATTCTGACTGAAAAATTAAAGTTGAGCAAACTTTCCACTCAATGGGTGCCAAAACTGTTGTGTTTAGACCAGCCACAGACAAGAGCAGAGCAGTCAAAAAAAATTTTAAACAAGTAGAAGAATCAAGATCCTAAAGCATTTCTTCAAAAAATTTTAACAGAAGGTGAAATACAGCTTTACCTGTACAATCCTGAAGACAAAGCACAATCAAAGCAATGGCTACCAAGAGGTGGAAGTGGTGCAGTCAAAGCAAAAGTGGATTATTCAAGAGCAAATGTCATGGCAGCAGTTTTTTGGATGCTCACGGCATTTTGCATGTTGACTTTCTGGGGGGCCAAAGAAAAATAACATCTGCTTATTATGAGAATGTCTTGAGAAAGTTAGCTGAAGCTTTAGCAGAAAAATGCCTGGAAAATCTTCACCAGCAAGTCCTTCTTCCCTATGACAATGCTCCTGCTCATTACTCTCATCAAAAAAGGAAAATTCTATGAGAGTTTTGGTGGTGTCCTATCATTAGATGATCCTCCTTACAGTCCTGATTTGAGACTTTGACTTCTTTGTGTTTCCTAATCTTAAAAAATCATTAAAGAGCACCAATTTTCCTTCAGCAAATAATGTAAAAAAGACTACATTAACATTGTAAAATTCCCAGGACACTCAGTTCTTTAGGGATGGACTAAATGGCTGGTATCATCACTTACAAAAGTGTCTTGAACTTGATGGAGCTTATGTTGAGAAATAAGGTTTGTATTTTTTATTTTTATCTTTTAATTCCATTTTTTCATGAACTTTCTGAAGTCTCTTTGCTCATATATTAACTTATTAAATTTATATGTGGTTGAACCTATTATTATCTCCTTTTTATAGATGAAGAAACTAAAACTTAAAGAATTTCAGCAAATCTAAGGTTATATAGTTTGTAAGTGGCAGAGCTAGAGGACCAACCCAGGCAGGTTGATTACAGAGACCACACCGTTAGCCACTATGCTTAGTAAGAAGAACAATGATTTTTAAAAAGCCCTTAGTTCTATAATTCTTTACAGAGCACTTTCACGTATATCACAATTACATCTTAATGACCATGGTGATGGGGTGATGAAGGCAAGCACTATCATTCCTGGATGCCTAACACCTTGTTGTGTAGGTTTCTACTACTTCCAGACCATAGTCAGGCTAGTGTTAATATTATTTATGTGGACATCAGCTTTACCTATTGGCTTTTGATACTCTGGAATATCTTATTTATTGTGTAAATAATAAATATATATAGAGTGCCCTCCCAGGATATTTTATGTAGTCATCTCTTAATAAATACTTACTGAATTAAATTTCTCTTTTATAGATGAAGAAACTGAATACTAAAAAATAAATGAGAGCCAAAACAATTTATTTTCCATGCAAATTATGAGGCTTTAAATTTTTTTTTAATAAAGTCACTTCTATAGAGCTCTACCTAACGATTGTCTATGTACTTATCAAAAACCTTTCAATCACCTGAGCTGATAAGAAAAACAAGAGCCAGGATTATAAAATTCCAGATTACTTCAAAACTGATTTTTTTTCAATAAACCCAAGTTTCTTTCTAGTGATAGTGGTGATGTGATCTCTATTTTCATTTCTTATTGGCCAAGTGCTAGCAGGCATTGTTGTAGAAGTACAGCATTTTGGTCTTTCTTTTTAGCCATAACTTGTATGTTGCTAGAAGAGATGCTAATGCAAGTAAAAAAATGGCTAGAAGTGAAGAGAAGAAAAAATAAGTGACAGAATAAATTGGTGAATGGAAAGCTTACAACATCTGCATCCATTCTACTCCAGTATAGAGAGGCTTACCTTATTTTTCCTTCACCCATGGAGAGGCATCTGTGGGACCCAGAGCCCCCAGCCATCTCAGAGATTGGCCATCTTCCTGCAAAGCAGACTGGGTAAATCCTTTGATGTCAGGAGTGGCAGCCATTATTATTGTTTCCCATGAAAGAATAATGAGCAACGAGAAGCTCAGTGAAAAGGGCCTGAGTTGAACTTGCTTGGTGGAGAAATATTGTCCTTAGGTTCAACAACTGGCAATGGCAACTTATTGTAAGAACTTGGGCAAGTTATGCTAACTCTCAAATCGCAATTTTCTCATCTTTAAAAGGGGCTCAATAATACATGTGACCCAGAGATACTGTGAGGATTAGAAATAATGAATGTGAGGCCCAATGGAAGGCAAATGGCTCATATCCAATATAGGTAGCGATTATTAACCTATATGTTTTCTGGCTCAATGACCCATGTAGATAAATGACTGCCCCAGTCACATTCTAGGCACTGACTCCACACTCATCTTTCATTTAACATTCCCAAAATGAAAGCTGAAGTCATTTAAAAAAGCATTCTCCCAAGACTCAGGGAAGCCAGCTTCTGGATTTAGTCCAATCCCAAGAGCTTGTCGGCTTTAAAGATGGTCCCCAAGGAGTGTAACTCCATCTACTCTAAGAATCTCTGAGGCCAGGGCACATCAGGGCAAATTCAGGAGCATAGATCCTGCCAAACCTCCTCTGTCCCCTAATCCCAGCCTATGATTCCTGCCCCACCCTGCCCTCTGGGCTAGTCTGACCTCTGTTTTTCACTCCACATTATATTTGGCATTTTTATCACCAGGGCTTGAGCAATTGGGCAAAACCTTTTTTGGCTAGAACTGAGCACTGTTTCTGAGGAGTTTCCCTCGGTGAACTGCGTGACACCCTGCTGGGTACGAGTGGGTGGTTTTGACAGCTGCAGGGAGAGGTGCCGTGTCCTGGGGTGGGATGGGTGATGAACACGCCATAAATCCCCAGTCTGCCTAGAGCATAAATCTGAGGGCTGCACAAGTTCCGAGGCAAGGAAATTGGAACTACGGAGCCAGGTAAACAGACCTAAGTCAACAGGAGCAAAGAAACAAGTCTTGTGGTGTTGCCGTCCGCAGCCTGGGGCTGGGTGTGCAGAGAGTTGGATGGCTGGCTGCTTAGGAATCATCTTTGAGTTTTATGGTCTTGTGAGGTTTGGGAAAGAAAATAAATGCAGGGCAAGGGTGGGACTCCTTCTTGCAGTGGCTGGGGCAAATGCTCACTGCGCCATGGCACCCGGCAAAGTTTCCAGGATGGCTCAATGTTGTTGGTTCCTCCTTCCTCCAGGGAAGTGAGAACAGGGCTGCTCAGCTGCCCCAGGGGTCACTGACGGGCAGGTGCCCGGAGAAAACACAGGCTGCAAGTCAGTACACCCTGGTTCCAGGCCCTGCATTGCCACTAATTGGTGACATGAGTTTAGGCCTTCTGACTTTGAATTTTCTCATTTACATAAATGGACAAAATACCCATATCTTACCTGGTTCAGAAGCTCAAATGAGATTATAGATGTCAAATAATTTTGCAAACTCATCATGTGAAACTGTCAGCCTTTGTGTGGACATTTATTAATAATAACAAAATATCTATCAAATGCTGAGCACTTTTTAGGTACTTGGCACAGTGCCAGGTGACTTAAAGGCTTGACTATGTAATTTGCAGGGCTCACTGCAAAATAAAAGTGTGAAGCTTTGTTCAAAAAGAAGGATGAAAGTGCAGTGAAAGATACTAAAATAGAAAGCTTTTTCTTTTCCTCTTTGGTTTTTCTCTACCTGTTAATGTGGCTTTTATTTGTTGTTTAATGTTGCACTCCTTTGGGGATGGGGATGGTTGTGGAGTGAGTACAGACCTCATAAGTTCCTGTGTGTGTGTGTGTGTGTGTGTGTGTTCCACTGTCTGCTGTGCCAGGTCCGGGCTGTGCAAGGAAGTTGAACCAGGCATCTCCCCTTCTCCAACCCACGGTGGACTGGTGACCCCCGTGCCGGAACCCATTAAGTAACTGGATGGGGCAGGTGAGAGGTCTGCCCCTGCTGAGTTGTCCAACAAACACATGCTGCCTTTGCTAGCCACAGGAAGGTGTCACCACGCCCTGCTTTGGCACGCACAGGCCAAAGCAGGGCGTGGTGATCCTCCCTGTGCTAGCATGTGGGCCCCCATTGGCGAGGGGAGAGGGAAGTCACCAGGTGGAGCCCAGGCACCAGATGGTGAGTAAGTGGGTGGCCAAGAAGCTGTGCCTGGGAGGTGGTGGGAGGCAGGACCATGGCTGGAGCAGGCTGTGAGCCTCCTGCGGCATGCGCCCTTGCTCTATTGGACTTCCCTGACAAAACACAAATTCAAGGACATAATGATTAAGAATTTCAGGACCATGACTGGGGAGCATTAAACCTCCTGTGTGAGAATCCCCTTCTGAGCAGCAGTTCTGCGAGATTGCATGGGTCACTTGCCTCAAAGCTGGGCCAGGGGATGATCTCTCCAGGGCTAAGGACAATACAGTAAGGGAGCTACGGTACTCTTAACTCCCACTCAGTAACAGGAAACAGAGACTTTAAGTAGCTTGCATCAAGGCTGTGAAAGCAGAGGTGACATCTGAGCCCAGGTATAACTGGAATGAATCCAAAAGGGTCTCTCTGGTATCCACAGCTGTGTCAGCTGGGCTGTTGAGCCATGCCCTCACCAGGTCTGGATTAGTAAAGCAATACTCGGACATCACTAAACCCCGCAAAGAGAAAAGTCCTGGTGCATCCTTTCTCCAACAAAGGACATTATTCCAGCAACACTGTGGAGAGTCTGCGCTGTTCGAGAGGAATCTAACACCCAGGGTGGTTACTGAAACTTTTCTCAGCCATTTAGATGTATACACTCAACTACTCTGAAAACAATTACTGAGTATCTGTCACTGGCAAGAATTTTGCTTTGTATTTTTTGAGAATAGACATGTAATTACGGTCTCCTCTCAGGGATCTTATTTCTGCCAGGAAACTTGCAAACATTATCCCTTATGCAAGATCAATGAGGAAAACTGGACCCCTGGAGGAAACGACCGCTACGGTGGGGTCGGGGGATTCAAAATGGCCTTGCGGGCAGGTTGTGCGGCAAGACCACACTGAGCATGCGCAGGAGGAAGCAGCAAGACGAATCTACAGCGGCTGGAGAAGCAGGGTGTTCTGGGATCTGTCCCCCCTTTAGTTTTAAGCACATGTTTCCACGTCCTTACCTGACTCTGCTGCTCGATCTCATTGATCTGGAGGCCTGTTTCTCTGGGATTCCTTTTTCCAAACATCTGAGAATGAGGGTGCCTCTCTCAGTTGCAGACGCAGTGGGCTGGCACGCTGGGAGCCCTAGGTGGAGGTGTGTCCTGACGCGTGGGGAAACGCCACCTGCACGGGGAGAGTGGAGGTGACAGGCAGAGAGGCAGGGGCAAGAGGTGGGGAGGCAGAGGAGCCTCATTTCCTGGTCTCCCAAGGCCCAGGGGTCCCACGCATCAGCCTTCTGTTCGGCAGCCGTTCCTCCCAGTGTCCTTCCAGCCACGCTCTGTTTGACCTAGGCTGCTTCTGGGTGAGTTTGTGTCCCTTGGATCCAGAGACTTCTTTCCAATAGTATCGGACTATTGCAGTGGTCTCGGAGAGGACTTAGGAGAGCCTGCGTAAGGCGGGGAGAGAAGACGGAAGGTGGGGCTGGAAGGAGGAGCCGTGATGGAGACGCGCGTGATGAGATGTGGCGGTTGTGCAGCGCGGAGAGCAGGGGGTGGTGGGTGACACCGGATCTTAGGGGATCCCTGGCACAGGGGAGGGGGCTCTGAAGGCAGCACTGTGATCGGGGCCTTTAGGGAAGAGGATTAGCTTAGTTTTATGCTCTAAGGATTAAGAGCTGCCCAGGCAACTACAGACAGACACATCCTTAAAGCAGCCAGAAATGCAAACCTTGTGCCACAGGTGTGGGAACACGTGACGGGGTTAGATGCTGAGGCCCTGGAGTCCCCTGGGTGTGGCTCCTGCTCAGCCGCCCACTAGCTGTGCGACTCTGGATAAGTTACTCTCCCTCCCTCAGCCCCATTGTTTTTGCCTGTAAAATGGGATAATATCTAAATCACGATTGTGAAAGAAGTTAAAGGAGAAAAGGCACTAGTGCCTAGAACATAGTAAATGTTGTTCATCTTGGCATAAAACAAAATCGAACCGAAACAAAAATTTATAGATTACTGGACTAAGAATTTCTCTCTCTTTTTTTTTTTTTTGGAAAATCCTATTTTTTATATCCTATTAACACAAAGAAATTGAGGAAAGTAATCCTAATATGTACCTAGATCTCTTAAAAATTGAGATTATATTAGTTTTTGTTTGTGGATCAGTATAGTAGGAACCATGTGAACACAATGTCAGTTCCACTAATTCATAATTAATGGAATATATCTCATACCCTACCTAATCCAATTTCTCATTTTTCCCAGGACATTAGCAAAGTTGGTAGGAAAAATGGACTGCCATGGCCAAAGATGGCACAGAGCACCTCAAGGCCTAGAACAGGAAACAATTTGTTTTTAGAAAACAATTCTACTAAAAGCCAACATGAGAATAGAAGTAATTTAAAATGCTTAAGACAAATTAAATGCATGACTGTGACTGTTAATTGCCATTTGATATGCTTTGTGTTACAGGATATACAAACTACCCCATCCCAACCTATGGAATATTGAGTTGATACTGAAGGCAATTGAAATTTCTCATAATTCAATATCCCACTATTTTATGATTGCTCAGAAAGATAAACAACCAGCACAAGATTTCACATCCTAAAAAAAAAAAAAAGCATTTGCACTTACCTAAACGTGTTTTAAAAATGGGATGAAGTAGGATTCCCTATGCTTGGAAAACGTGTTTCCAGAGGTGCTAAAAATACTTGCCTTTGCAAATAGTTGATAAAGTTTTCCTCTGACTGGTACCAGAGGAAAGACAAAGACCACTGTAAGACATGGTGTGTGACATCATGCAGACTTGGCTTGTTTCCCTCCTACTTCATTAGACTGGACTCTCTTTGTTTCTAGTTTCTCCATTTTCTGCAGCTAAATCTTTTCTAGTTTCTTGATTTAGTCGCTACTGCAGCCTTTTTTGTCTCTGCTACCCTTTTGTTTGCACTTTTATTTTGTCTCAAGATTATTATTATTTTTTTTTTGCTTTCCTGCTGCCCTTTCCTGGCCCAGTGTGCTTGTATGCGGGAGCAGACTTAGCTATTCACCTTGCCGATCTCCTTGGAATCTTCCTCTTCTGACCCTTCAGCTGAATTAACCTTCTGTTGGACTGCCCTGTCCGAGCCAAGTTTCCAGGAAGACGTTGCTACAGAAATTCACACTTATGGAAGCATAAGAAAAACAGAGAGGGCAAATAATGGCTTAAAAATATTTTGATAATCCTGTACCTTTGTTTGTATAGCCGATTGGATTTCCAAGAATGTGGAGGAGGAGGAAAGGGAGGCACAATTTAATGGACCAATTGTAGGAAGTAGACTTACGAAGCGAAGAAATATGACCCAGAGGCTTTAACAAAACACACCGCTGGGATGTTGCTATAAATAGCTGCGGCAGCATGTGGAGTCCATTAAGTCAGAGGAGTGGTTCAGGCACCTTGGAAGGTGGTTGCAAGAGCCGGCACACTCCAAGACGTGCCCTTTCATTCAGACTTCACAGATGTCAAGTTTCCAGAGGCTCTGGTCTCTGTGTCTGCCCTCAGAGAGACGTGTGACCACACCTCACCTTTTTTGCAAGGCCTGTCTCAGAGAGACCAGAGCTTGGAGAACAAATGGCTGGTGTGTTAATAGATCTAGCAGAGGGATTCGCAAATTTGCCATCCTAATTTTTGTTCTCTGCTTTTTCTCATAGTTGCTTGATGTCATGCTAAAGTTTGTAGCTGTGTACCAAAGAACAATTAAATATAATTTCTGAAGTTGGGTGTCAAGAAGTAAGGGAAGAACACAAGCGTCTTCTTATCTATTTTTTTTTTTTTTAATACTCAGCTAACTTCTTACCTCTTCAGTTTTGGAGTCTTCCCTGAATTTCTCAATCCATCTTATCGTTCTTTCCTTTGAGCTCCTTTGGTCTCCATCTTTTGTGTTACAGAAAGGAAATGGGGTTTCACAAACCCGTGTTTATTTCTTGGCTCTGACTCTTATGTTATCTTGAGAGAATTTCAGCTCCAGTAACCTTTTAGACAGGGATTATTAAATGATTGGTGATTGCTACATTACATGTATATTTTTACTTAATTTTAACCACAACTGTATATATAGGAGCTCATATTACCTGTACATTCTATGGATAGGGAAATAGAAGCTCATAGAAAAGAACTTACTCAAGGCCACCTTGAGTGGCTCAGAGGTGGGGATATTGTCAGGATTTGAATGTGGATTTCTTACCCATGTGCTGTATTGACTCCAGGTTAACTTTTATGAGCCTCAATTCTTTCATCCTTAAAATGGAAATAGTTGTGCAATCGTAGTGATTCAATGAAAAAGAAAGCCTGAAATATCAGGGTCAAAATATGTGTATAGATAATCCCTTCCTTTCTCTCCTCCATTAAGAAGGATTTTAACAAACACTTCCACAGATTTTTCATGTTTATACATTGAATTTCCACCCCGATCCTGAATTTTCTGTGTGTGGAGGCTCAATCTCATGCAGACTCTGCAGATGCCATCACGTGCACCGTGGCTATCACACAGGACACATGTACAGTGACAATGACTTGACCTTGATACTTATGATGTCCCTTTCTCTCCTTCTGGATACTCCTAGCAGCCTGGCATCACGTCCATCCTGAGAAGCGAAGGCAATCTAGCCTTGTTTACCACATTCCTCCCCAAATAGAAGTTCATAACTACAATATTACCACTACAGGAAATTAAGTCCATGGAACAACCAAATAAGTTTCCAAACCATTTGGGTATTTTCCGCAAATATTCTTGGGAGTTTAATCTTCCTGTTGGCTATCCAAAAGCATTAGAAAAATAGGCAAGAGTGGGAACATACCCAGGGGCAGGTAAGTAAGGTGTTTCTTGCCTCTCTGAACTATTTGCCTGTAAGAATTTTTGAGTGTAGTTTTTGAGTGAAGCATTTTAGCAAAAGAGAGAGGCGTGAGAAGTAAAAGGAGACATGGGATGCTCAAGGAGAGGGGCAATACACGCCTTATTTATTTCTAGCATTTTCCAGCAGTGTGGGATATCAGATGGTGGGAGTATGTGTATCTGAGGCAGGGGAGGGGCAGGGAACAGGAGCCAGTGATTCTCAACCCTGGTTGCTCATGAAAATAACCTGGGGAGAACTAAATAATGCCAGTGCCCAGGACCAACCCCAAACCAACTGAATCAGAACCTCTGGGAATGAAGCCCAGGAATTGGTATTTAAAACAAATTCTTCGGATCATCCTCATGTGTATCTGGGGTTGAAAACAACTAGCCTAGAAGGGTTAGCCAGACCAGGCCCAGAAACAAGCTGTTTTCCTAGCAATGTCTCTGGGAGAAGTGACAAAAGATTATAGTTAATCTTGAAATATAGCAAGGTGGACAATTTCAGGGACTTCAGGAATGTGCATTTTGTGTATCTTTTTGGCAGAGGTGACTACCACCAATTATGTGTGTTGACAATAAACTAATTTTGTGCTATAACCATAGGGGAAAGTTCTGGGGCAGACATCTCTATGTTCAAAAGCATTATAAAAGTGTAGACAGGGTGGAATAAGCAATACCCAAAATAAATTTGCTTTCTTCCTCATTACAAACACACCTTCAGAATACAGAATACAGAATACAGAATACCTTTCTCTACCTCAATACAGCTCAGGCCTTTCTTCTCTGATCTTGAAAATACAGGTATTAATTTCAGCCCTTTCCCTTCTGTTGCTATTAACCACGCTGTTTCATTGTGTAGAAGAGTTTACATTTTCATTTTTTCCTTTGAAAGTTTTTCTACCTGTTCCTTGCAGCTGCAAATGGCACCAGTTTCATTTTCTTTGAAAGCAGTTAAAAAGTATCGTGATGTAGTGGAAAGAGCATGTGTGGAAATCAAATAGAATTGTTTTGTTTGAATCCCTCACATGTTAATGAAGTCTGTGATGTTTGGCAAGTTTCTTACTCTCGGAGCCTCAGTTTCTTAGTATGTAAAATGGAAACAATATTACCTATCTGTAATATCTCAAAGGCTATTGATGGGCTATGTATGTATGTTAATCATGTAGTCCAGTGTCAGGAATAAAATAGTTATCTGGTAAGCATTGGTATTGCCTTTTTTTTAAAAAAAGTATATTTGCTCACTTAATTTCAGGGAGGAATAATTATGTTAGATTGCTATAGAAAGAGGTTGGACTAAAATAACCACACTTAAGGAAATTCTATTTACATTTGAAGACAAAGCACAAATTATGCCAACTTTATTGGCATAGCAAAATTACCTTCTATTCTTTTACTCTCCCATCCCTTGTATCTACTAGACTTAGTTGGACATACAATTCCCAGATGTATTAATAGTACGCAGTCCTTGAAATGCATACGTAAGAAAATTAGCAAGGGCCATAGTAAGCTAGAGAAATCAAGTTAGTTCTAATGCCAAGCTCTTGTAGATTCCTTTGAGAACCTAAAATAAGAATTTTAAAAATTAATTAACTCATTATTCTTATTTCAGGGTATTATGGGGGTGCAAATGCTTTGGTTACATAAACTGCCTTTGTACCA